ATAACAGTCAGTTTAATTTTGAAACTTTTACTACAAAGTAGATATGCACATTCACAAAGTTTCCATTTATTTTCAAATACAGCCGGCACACGTGCACCACGCCGCGTTCAATGTATGCTTCTCTTCCGAGCACGCAATTGCGATATTTCTACTTTCCCAAGTGTTTATCGTGGCGGGTTATCCTGTTGAGTGCGCTTCTTATTGAGCACTGTTGCACTGCGGAGAAGCAACACCCGCGGAGCTCGCTTCCGCAGGTATTGCTTCTTCGCAGTGCAACGGTGCTCGGTAAGAAGCGCACTCAACGAGACTAGCCCGCCGCACGCAACCAACACTTCGAAAAACACGAACAGCACAGTTCTCAAAGCGAATATAGAATAGTGTATTATTTGAAACTACAGTTCGAAATTCCGAATACTCGCACAACCCCACTAACACGGTGTTTAGTTATGTCTGGGAGGCACAGCTCGCAGTAACTTCTGAAATTAACTCGTGACAACAAACTTGAAGTAACTTATTGAATGCGGGAAATTCTGTCTTGAAAGGAATTTTTCTAACTTCCCTTGTTAAAACGGTTTCCTATCACAAGTCACAAGTTGGTTTCACTGTTTAGTGCCCGCCAGAGTTCAGCTGAGGCTCCTTCAATGCCCTTACATGTAACTCATTGTTTGTGATAATTGGGAGGTTTATTCTGTCATCACATTCTGTTGATAACCTAACCACATTCCAGATTTTTTGTTTTGTTTTCCTGGTTCTGTAATTCTTCCCATGGACTTGATTGCTCAGAAAATTAGAGATTGCCTTTCACAGGGAAGCTGGACATGGCCCACTAATTATTTCTTAAGAATAAAGGTATGAACACGTTTTACTTAATACTGTATCTTGTGTACACTTCCTCGAAATTTCTAACACAGTGTTTAAGCAGCTGTTAATCTCTGGGATGCGCAGCTGGCATTAACTCCTAAAAGAACTTGGACCCGCAGCCTTGTCACATTCCCTGGGCATTATATATTTAATTTGAATTGTTCCCGCGTCAAAAATTAGTTTACGTGTTGTCTGTAACTTGCAGCGGCAGAAAGCTGTAACTCTCAATCACTGAGCTGCACATCATGAGTGACGACAGGAATCGTTCCGACATTGAAAATTAGCTGGCGTGTTGTCCGCACATTGCAGCAATGGCCAGAGCCTGTTAAAATGTTAGCTGCAGTGATTTAACAAAACCGATATCTCAGTGAACAATAAATAAGCAGTAAAATGCTATATTTATTGTTCACTTAGACATCCATTTTGTTAAGTCACTGCAGCTAGCAGTTCAACAGGCTGTGGCCGACGCTGCATGGTGTGGACAACACACCTGCTAATTTCGTATGCAGGAACGATTCCTGTTTTCGCACATCACGTACAGCTCGGTGATTGAGAATTACGGTTTTTTGCCGCTGCAAGTTACGGACAACACGCCAGCTAATTTTCGATGCCGGAACGATTTCAGTCGTTGCACATCACGTGCAGCTCAGTTATTAACTGTTACGGTTTTTTGCCGTCGCAAGTTACGGACAACACGCCGGCTAATTTTTGATGCCGGAATAATTCCCGTATCTGTGGATCACGTACATGAGAGTTTCGGTTTTCTGCCATGCTTCTACGGGTCAAGTTACGGGCAAAAACCGTAGGGCCTCATTACTGTCATGCACGTAATACCTAGTTAATGCTGTGACCGTTATGCAAGACAACGGAAATTGTACCGGCATCAAACATTAACTGGCAATTTCCGTAATTTTACGTAATTTTTCTTTACAGTGTGCATTGTCTGCTCCATCGCCTGCTTCAGTGGTCGTGCTCAGAACGAGCTCGCATTGCTAGGACCGGCAATATTAATGGTGTCGCATGCATTTTGCAACCGAACTCTGGTAGCTCGTTATCAGCGCGCGCTAAGCAGTTGCGCACTTATACTTCGTTTCACCTTATGTTGTACCGCAGCGAAGGCTGGAAGCGCGAGCTCATAGCGTTGGCAGCTGCTCTTAATTCACGAGAGCTTGTGCCGCCGAGATGTGCCCCAGATCATGGAGCTCGCGCTTGTAGCCGTTTCCGCGGTACATCATAAGGTGAAACAGAGTATAGCTGTGGCCGCCAGTAAATGCGGCGTAGTTCCTCCGAAAACATACGGGAGCGGCGGCGAACGCCTCTAGAGGACTCGGGAGTCTACGTAAGCAGACGCTTTGCGAGCCCCGTTTCGTCACCTCAACAGCTGAAACAATTCATTGCGGTCAGTGCGCTTCCGAAGCGGGATCCACTGATCCCAACTGCAACAACAATCAAATAATAACGCGCGCATAAACAAAGATAGAGCAGTCTATTTAGCGGTCTCAAACGCCACTCAGGGGATCACACGAGTTTGGAGCGCATCTGGGAAGTGGAAGAAAGGCGTTTAGCCACTCGAACTACGTCGTAACAGGTTACTGTTGATCCGTTACAGAATGCGTTGTCACAGTTTCTTACCTAAATTGGTGATCATTAAAACGTGGGCAAACAACGTGTTAAGATTACCAGAGCAAGCTAACCAGTCACTGCAGCATAACAGAAACAAAAAAGTAAAGAGAAAATGACCGTGCAAACACTTTTCAAACTCTGCAGGAAAGATGGGGTCCCCTTCTTAGGCGAAAATAAAGCGAAATGGGGAACAACGACGAATAAACCAAAATGTTAGCAGACGATAGCAAAATACAAATCACCCAGCAAAGAAACTCCTTCAAAGACGACAATCAATGCGTCGCTTAGGGAAAGAAAAAAAATTATAAAGCAGCAACATAAAAAAATACATTTTTTTTTAGTGGTTTGTTTTAGCTTAATTTTTATATTGCAGCAACTTAATTACTCATGTTTGTTCGGGCTTGGGGAGGCGGAAGAAGGATTTTCTAATACATCGCAAAAACGTCTTTTTACAGTGGTATAGGCAGGACATGACATGCCTGCCATCTCCAAGTATGCGCTGGTGTATGCCAGAAGGCGGCCGGTTGATCAACAAACGTTGACCCATTGCGGACGTTCCGGCGGAGACAATTAAATTTCGAATATAAATGTATAACGAGCTTAGACTTCTTAATATATGTATTAAATAACAAAATGCACATATGAAGATTTCGGATAAGAAACTCAATCGAACACGAAAGTAGGTAGTTATCGCAGACGACAGTAGAAGAAAACAACAACAAAAGTTGCAGACGGCCCTCAAAATGTCCAGGCACAGTGTTGCAGACGGGCTGGCGCTAGTAAGCGCGAAGTGAAAAAAAAGAGAGGAAAAACTAATCCAAACAAGGCAAAGAACAAAAAAAGTACAAGAAGTGATATTATTTAAACGCCAAATAAGCAAACAAAACGCACACACACACACACACGCAAAAAGAAAAAAAAAACACACACACACACACAAAAGCAGGAGGAAGAAAGAGCGCGACGTCGTAGCTCCTTCTCAAAAATAAAAAGAAAGTAGACTTTAAAAAATGGAAAGAGTTCCTGACGGCGGTCCAAGGGGTGCCCACTTTTATCCTAGAAGGCGACGAAGACGTTAGTCTTCCGGGCGCTAATAATCGGAATTTGTGTACCGTATGTAACGTGACCGAAATCACTTTTTTTATTTTGCACTACGACGCTCTCCTTGTTTTGTTCTTTTTTTTTCTTTTTTTGACGCGCAAGAAGTCCGCTTTTCTTGTAACTCCGCTTTTATTAATTTCAGTAATAGCGTCAGATTTGCATTAGCACAATCGACTTCTTCCAGAGCATACTGACATCGCAATAACGTACGTTGTTCGAAATTGCCGCTTGCTTCGTCATCCCATTCGCCTATTCGACGAAACGGTTATAAGCAAGGCATTAATGAGAAATGGGTACTGCAACAACGAAACAAATTGATTGATAAGAGCAGTAAAGTTGAAACGTAGCTACGTTCTAGAATGTTTCTACATTGCCCTTTTTCAAAAGACATTGCGAAGGTACATTCGTGTTTTGCCTCGCTTACATAAGTTGCGACAGTGTTTTCTTCAGGAGAGCCCCGAAATTGCAACCTGAAAGCTCTAACATCTTTCCCACGCGACGATGTCTTCCACTTATGAAGTGGCAGCTTTTGTTTAACATTCAAAGCAGCGATTACCAGTGACATTTTTTTTCATTGGTCACCTCGCACGGAAATAGGCAAAACCAATGCGTTACGGAGACTTCGTCTGCTAGCGGAGGCTCTGAGCTCGCCAGGGGCGCTGCAATCACTTTCCTCTCGTCAAGCTTCGGGGTGTTTGCCGCTTGGGGTTGGTCGGGGATCTACTAACGAAGCGTCATGCGGAGGCCTTGTTTTCTAGGTGGCATTGGCTGAAGCACCATAAGCCTTCCCCTGGCTTCGCCACTGAGGCTGCAAGCAGCCTTAAGGCCCATGAGATTGGTCTATTCAAGCACGCAAATACCCAGAGTGCTTAGACGACCCCGCAAAATGCACACAAAAAACGTACAGCCTTTCCGCTCTCGTGAAGATGGAAGACCAGCGGAGCCGACCCATTCTGAGTCCAAACCGAAACTGATAAGAGCGTTGGGAACAGCGCGCAAAACAGACGAGGACGAAGAAACACACTTGACGAGCGCTGCGCTCGTCACGTGTGTTTCTTCTTCGTCCTCGTCTGTTTTTCGCGCTGTTTCCCATGATGAATTCCCAACAATGCGCCCAACAATCTATTCCTCTATGATAGGTGGAAAGGTTGCCGCCATCTACGAGCGACGGCGACAACCAGACTGACTGTGTGCTTGCCACGTCGCTTATTGATGGCGGTAGGTCTCCAGGTAGGTTCGTGTCCTCGTGCGTTTGATACCGGACACGATCCTGGGGAACCTAGCCCTTAACAGCTCCGCTGTAATAAAAAGCAGCGTGAACTTACGCATTATTGTTTTTTCAACTGATATTATATGCTTGCAACTTGCAATCCCACTACGCGTCAGTCACTCGCAGTGTGCCAGATTGACCGCACCATTCCGAGGAAGATGTTGGCCGCAGTGCAGACTGACTCGCAGGCCGTGGTGCCGATAGCGAGCTGAAGAATCTGTCCCATTCGAAGAACGAACCACTGCATGATGCCGTAGAAGTACAAGATGCTCACGAAAAAGCTGAAGAAGAAAATCACGGGCAGGGCCTGCAACGCACACGATGCAGGGGAGCGATGTTGAGATATTTGCGGTGGGTTAAACGGCCTTTCTGGTGATCGCCGAGCAATTTGTAGTTTATGCTTCAAAAGTACGCGATAGCATAGGTAATACTTCGTTACATATCATGTCTGACCGCAGTCGACACTACGATTCGAAGGAGCCAATCAAGCTGCGCCAAAAGTGCATCGTTATGTTTGAATGTAAACATATTCGACATAGATCTGTCTGGTTAGGAAATAAATAGACTGACTAAAAAAATGAAACTAACCAAGTTTCAATAAAAACAATATACCCTACGTTTTGGGACCAGCTTGGTCACTTGGTCACGGGTGATTATGGGTTGAGCGAATCTTCTTCGTTGTCGTCATCTATATCATGTTAATACTCTTCAACTTCATCTTCATCGAGAATATAGAGCGATGAAACCCGGTGCGAGTGTTGCGCCCGTGTTTTTCCGTAAAGCGACGAAGCCCCGAGACGTACACGCTCGGGAAAGTGCCCGATGATCTGTTGACGATAAGGAAAGAGGAACATTTAAGACAAACGAAGTCGAGCCAGTAAACGTTTTGCTGAAAGTCGAAAGCCTGTCTTGTCAGTTTGCTTAAATATTCCTCTTTCCTTGTCGTAAATTAATAACCAACACGCTCAACCATCTACATCTACATCTGTTGACGTTTTCGTTTGTTATTTGGATATACCAGGATTCCAGGTGCAGACATCTACGCCAGTGTTTTTCCGGGGTCAGAATCTCGCTCTTGTCGAAGGACACGCTGTGACCCAGTATTTCGGCGTGTTCTGCAAGGGCACTGGCTTGGACGTCATTCTTTTTCACGTCGTATTTGTGGCGGCGGATACGTTCTGGGAAGTTCTTTGTTTTTCCCACGTAGGCATCAGTGTAGTCCGCGCATGAGATGCGGTAGCCGAGATCTTGAGCCTACTCCTTTCCCGGTCTGTCTTTGCGAAGGGAGAGTCGTGACGGGTGGTTGTCACTGGTCTGTAAGTGACCGCGATCCCATATTTGCGAAGGGTGCGTCCGATGGTCTCGCTAACGTTCCTTTTGTATGGCACGTAAATACGGCTCGAAGGGACCGGGGCCGTGGAGAGACGGGGAGGGTGCAGTGTCTTGTATGCTGGGTTGATAAATCTGAAGTTTAGCCTTTTTCTTAATATAGGCCCTGATCTTGCACACCTCCTTTCGGAGCGATTCCTCCGTCGAGCATACAGACATGGCACATCTGAAAAGGGCAGTGAACCGATATCTTGTGTGTTGTGGGATGATAAGATTTGAAGTTCAGGTACTTGCCAGTGTGCCTACGGTTTCTGTACACCAAAAAGTAAGATCATCTAACTTCTTCCGCACACTGACGTCCAAAAACGAAAGAGCGCCGTCTTTCTCGCCCTCCACCGTAAATTGGATTGCGGGTTCGACCGAATTCAGGTGTTGGCAAAGGTGTCGACGTAGCTTAGAAAGATCTTTGGTTTTTGGCAAATACGAAGCGAAGGCTTGGTGCTCAATATGTTCCTTGGGGAGGTTGGCCATTGTGACCAAGGTAGCTGCTCCCATAGCTGTGCCGCTTTTCTGCTTGAAGAAGAGCCAATCGAACGAGAAGTATGTGCGCGTAAGGCACCCCTATTGAAAAAGGCCAATATGAACTCGGCTTATTGGAAATATTGTATTCCAATGAAGTTGATGGAAACCAATAAAAACTTATTGTTATCCGATTAACCCAATACGCACGACGGGAATTCATATCGGAGCACAATATCCCGATATAGTATACGGTTATTGGTATACAACAGGATATTGGAGCACAATATCCCGATATAACTTGCGGTTATTGGTATACAACACGATATCGAAGCACAATATCCCGACAGAACTTACGGTTATTGGAATAGAATACGACACCGCGTGCATATTGGTGACCGACATGGACGTACTGTGCGGTCACACGATATATAAATATCGGTCGTCGATCACGGGCCCAAAGGAGAATACAATATCGCGTGGATAAATCTCAGAACGAATTCCAAGTTACCAACATGAATTACGTCGGCATATACCGCGGACTAAGAAGATACGTAACACAATATTGATCGCCCGTGAAGCAACATGTGAATATCGGTACGCCCACATATACGACATCGCGTGAATGATATCGTAGAACAGCAGGAGTTACCATACGGCAATACGAGAGAGAACGATATTGGAGGTGGATACACACAGAACACAAACGTTCCGCGTTGCGAACACATTCATATTGATCGAAAGCGCAAGTGTACGTACGGCACACAGTACACACAGCCTCGAGCGCTTGAAATGCTAGACAACCACCAAACCATTCCAAATAACTAGCTGGGACACCCGCGACCTACCTTTCAATGAGAAATCCCAATAACGACGTGCTCATTGGAGTGATCGTTTTCAAACAAATGTTTATTGCAGTTTTAATGCAACAAAAGTTAGGTTACCGATGTTGGAACCCAAATCGAACGCGATACGTGACAATGTCAGTTCGCACGATAAAATAATGAGGATTAATGGGCTTGACAGGTCACGTGCTTCTTACCCGCACATTTATCGATATTGACCCACCTTTCAGGGTAATCCTACGTCGTACACAAAATCCACAACCACACACGAGCACATTTCACCCACCACTCTTCGTCGCCTGTTTTGCAAGATTCACACACTGTAAAAAAACGACGGGAAAAATACGTGCATTTGCACCATCAAACGATACGTTACAGACTCGTTTTATGAGAAAAATTTCCGTCGTCAACCCGCGCGCGCGAAAGCTCGAGCGCTCGAGCTTCGGAGGCAGTTCGAACTCCGAAGGGAGGCGAGCCGAGCGAGATCGAGCCAGATGAGCGGCTGAGCGAGCCGCCGAGTGGCCGAATCCGCCGATCCAGCCAAGCCTAGCCGAGCCGCCGAGATTGCGCGATTGCGCCATTGCGCAGCGACCGCGACCGCGCCAACCTGGCGAGACGGCGGCGATGGCGGGACCGACGGATGACAGCTCGTCAAGTTCGTCGCGCACTTTGCTTGTGGGTTCCAAGTGAAACCAACGCACGTTCAATCGCTTCGAAAGGTACGTATAGACGACTTTATTACTTGCAGCACTGAGTGCTTTGGTATACACAGATCAAAGTGATCACTGAAGGACAGAAGGGAGACATGATGTTTTGAAATCGCAGCTTATTTGAACGCATGCGTCCCCTGCTGAAAGCGTCTGGCTGTGCTCTGTTGCAGACGTCATTTCGACTGCGTGCACTCTGATGTAACGTCAGTCAGTGTTTACACTCGGCTAGCTTCGCTATCTTGTTGTCTCATGTGCGAAACAGACGTAGAAACCAGCGCCTCGTCTCTTTCGGATATTCAACCTCCAGCTCCCTGGCTCCCAGCGTGCTTACCGGCGCAAACCGTTCGACGTGTTGGATTCGTGGGCTCGTTCGAAGAGGCGTTGTATAACGCTCACGAGTCGCCGAAGTGTTACCGGAGCTTCTCTTTACGAAAGTCGCGATCGACGCTGGGCTCTGAGCTCGTACTTTTTTCTTCCCTGGTAGACTAAGAGTGCCGACCATTCATCTGTGGTGCCGACTGGCACCGTACGAAGTTGAGAAAAGGTAGCGAGTCTGTCAGATTTTCGTGACGCCGCCCGACTGCTCTGCTACCGGCTGCGCTCAACGAATAATGTAAAAAAAAAAAAAAAAAAACGCGTTTTCTAGTTTTCAAATTTTTTTTCTTTTTCTATGTTTCTTTTCAGTCAACGCAAAGTAAATCGCGGCCGTACGTCGGTTGACTCCCGATTACTGTCTCTACATCGTAGATTGTCTCACCACAATGGTGCCTCTTTGGTGTGATCTTATTCTGATATCGTTACATCTTGCTTTTTCATCTTGGCACAGTTCTAGACGACTTTCTACACGTTGCACTTCTTGTCGACATGTTGCTGGTGTTAGAGACAAGTCTGAAGTCGCTGTTTGCTCACTCCTTGGTGCACATATTTCATGTTCAACATCAGGTATCTGAAGGAGGCGCCACGAAACCCTGGAGTTTGTTTAGAGGTACCTCAACATACTGTATTCAAGTGTCGTTTTGTGTGTTATAGTTTCCTACAAAACCAAATTGCACTTTGTTCGTAATATACCCTATAACTGTTCACTACAATTAAAGTTGCTATGAAACATTGGCCACGAGAGGTGACTCGGCCAACGCAGCCTGAAAATTTCTCGCATAATTTTCTTCATGGGTCATTTTGGACATTGACAAATTTTCTTGTGAATAATGAGTGTTATGCACATGTGTTCTACTTTTCGTACAGGTACTTCAGTTAGATAAACCCTAGCCAAGGCAGCAAGACAGTCTCATGGGGTCACACCAAGAATAACGGCATTCCTGCTCGAGTCCCGAGTCTTGTCACCAAACTTCACTGAACATAATGGTACATTCCGTTTCCTTTACGTTTTCTTCTGAAATGTGTTTCTTTATTGTTGTTGTTGCTTTTTTCTATTGAAAAAAGGGTAGTACAACGTTTAAACACCCAATGTTTTTTTTTTCTTTTTGTAAAATGTATAGTACATCGTTTAAACACCCAACCGTTCATAAATGGTTTCTGTACCAGACAATAGGGTGTCTACTCTGTTTCATACTTAGCGTGCAACGCTGTCAAAGGTACTAAAGTGGTGCGCATGAAAACATAGAAAAAGTGTTACTCCGCGCGTTTCGTGGACGAGTGGTAGAAGGCGCTGCTCTGGCGAAACTGACGTCTCGGCGGCCGGTGTTCGATCCCATTTAACGTGCAAAGTTTTTTTGTTTTTTTTTCTTTTTTAGACATACTTTTCGTGCAAGATTGTGGGCATTGACGACGTGCATATTTCAGTTCCTCCTTCTTGATTTTTATTTATAAGTCGCCGAGGGGACAGATTTCTACCATCTGGTCTGCCGCTTTGAAACTGTTATTTGCCTCCGCACCGAGTTATATTT